TAATTTTTTTTTATTTTTTTGTAAAAAATGAATGAAATTGGAAAATTAGAATTGAAAAAAAAGCAGAAATGAAATTGCAAACAAATCGATAAATGGCATTAAAGCGGGTAAGGTGTGAAAGCACTGATACAATGTTGTCTTTATGGATCTGACGCATTTATTTGGTATGTAGAATCTTTTGAATGTTTCTAGCTCTGATTGAATGACTCTTAAATAATTCTGTTACTTCCATCAATAGCATGCATGCATTAAATTTTAAATTTGTTTTTAAAAGTCTGGTTTTGTGCATGTTTAGCATCAAACATTTTAGCAACCAGCAAAACTTTAATTGGGTTTTTGAAAACTTTTTCTAAACTAATATGTGAATTCAATTAAAACTCAATCAGGTTGTAAGTGACACATACTAAACATATCTAGTGGTTTTGAGTATAAAGTTTGAAAGTTTAGCATCCGAATGACTACATACACTCAAATGATGAATGAATTACTGACATTCAGGAGGAAAATAACAGAAAGAATGGATTGAGAAGAGGAAGGCAATTTCTTTAGTTGTAAGACCCTAGAGCAGTGCCTCGAGCTCGTCGCAACGTGTAGCAACACATCGCTTGGCTGGAAGCCTCTCACATTATTATTATTATTTAGAGACTAGAGACGAACCTTGCCACAGAAATTACAGTTATTAGAAATCAGGAGTTTTAGGCAACTGACAAACTTCACTAAGCTCACTGTATCTCTTGATAAACCATTGCATACATAGTTTGGCGACATACTAAATTTACCAATTTTAAGGCTTGTTTAATATTAAAAGAGGAGATAAGAGGGGGAGGGGGGGGGGGGGGTTCAAAGAACTCAACCTCATAAAGCATAAAATAATTATTTTTGAAATAATGCGCAATGCTCAGGATATCTCCTTTAAATCTACAAGCCCTTTTTAAACCATGACAAATTTTACACAGCAGCTTCCGTTGGCACTCATTCATGCATGCATTAAAAAATTCAGATTCAGCAAATAAATCATACAAATAGTGAGGCAAAGTGCAAACATTTTTGAAACCCAGACAAATTGGAAGCACAAGTGCTGTTGAGAGTATTTTGTCTGTTATGGAAATCGATATGATGTGCTTATTTCACTAATTAGATTATAGTCGTAATGGAAAATAAGGCATGAGCATATGCTCAGAAATAAAAGAACATTAAAATTATTGCAATCTACAAAATATTTCACTTACTCCTAAAAAAGTCCATATCAATAAATTTTAAATGCAGAAGCGTTTTTATCTCTTAATGTATTTTATTATAAAAAACTATTTTTATTCTATTTCCTATTTCCACTTATCCGTACTTTTCTCATGCAGTGCAAAAACACGACTGAAAATGAAAAAGCGAAATAAAAAAAAATTCACTACTTAATTTTCACCCAGCTTGTCTATATTTGCATTTAATTTTCATTTTCACTTTTATTTGGTCTCGTTCCTATTTATACTTCTAGGCAGAGCTTTTTTTCGACTGCTCAACCTATTTTATTCTACATTCTAACAGCGAGTATGGAAAATAATAAAATTTTCACTTTTTATAATCGATGAATAAACGGAAATAAGTTAAAATTATGTTTGAACGTAGAAGAGCGATAGAACTTTTTTTGCTCCTTCTTTTGAAACAATGTGCTAAATTTATGCTGCATCGGAATTGTTTATGCATTTAAGTTTGGAATGAAATCGATGCACAATTGAGTTTTTAAAGTTTATTTTTGTAACAAAGAATCTTTTTTAAATTCAGAAAGTTTTCAAGTCAAGTTGATTTTGAACTGCTGAAGATCAAACTTCCTACATCATTCCATTCCTACTCTCATGCTCTGGTGTGGTCTATGTATACTTTTTGATTCTCATATTTCGTCTGAAAGTCTAATTTCTTGGGGAACTTCATTAATGAGCGATCCTTAAATGATACCTTAAAAAGGTAAATCATGGGAAGGGCCCAACCTTCTGAGTTAGAGGCCCTGCGATTCAAATTGGAACTGAACCTATTGCTCTACACCCTTTTAACCTTTGTTTTCCAAACTTTTTTGAACCACGGCACACCTTAGGGGTAAGCCATTACTAAAGTCGCACACAGCATGCGGTTCGCGTCATTTGTGCCGCGACACACAGTTTGGAAAACACTGGTTTAGACCTTCAGTTTATATTGGAATCCGAACCACTTGCAAGCTCTGCACATTACAAAAACACGATTAAGACTAAAGACCTGATGAACCCTGCAATGTACCTCAATGTACCTAGTCACGATTCGTGTTCGAAAGATGCTCTAATGAAATCATCAAGATGGTAGTATGTCCTAGTTTATTTAGCAACAGAAACAAGTTATGTGCCGACGACCTCAAAACTACACCAAATGAAACCTTATAATGTCGTATTAAGCATCATCTAGGGAACCAGCAAGAATCAATCTTAATAACCCTCAATTAAATTTTGACAGTTTTTCATCGTAGGCTATGCTCCATCCCCAAACATCTTCCAACAATTGTGAGTTTTCCAACAAAATAAGAAGAAAAAAAAATTATTTTCAAATAAAAAGTTTTCCGTCTCATTAAGCTGTTTGCCAGACACTCTGTAAGCTCCAGAGCATGAAATTTATTAATTGATAGAAAATCTTATTCTATTAGTCGCAAAGATAAATATTAGCACAAAAAAAATGGGAAAAAGTTTTAAGAATTCATGAATTATTGAATGTACAGGCGTTGAAATGTGTGACTTAATGCTTAACATGAGAGTACTTTGGAATTGAAATGAAGAAGTTTGTGTGCATTAACAAATTTTCAATTGTAGAATTATGTATTTATATCCTTATTGTGAGGAGGCTGATGGTTTTGGCACAATTGAACATGCTTAAAGTCTGAGATTATTATTGAAATTTTGTTCTTCTCAGAAGGAATTGATATAAATTGATGCTGTTCATTGTTGTTCATTATCGTCTTGTTGGATTTGAGAATTATTGAGTATAAAGCATACAATAGGATTTTAGGTACTTACATAATTTTCAGTACATTAGAATAATCCAAATGGAAATGTTTTGTGAATGATTATCAATTAAATTGTGATAATGGAGAATTTGAGGAATTTAATTTAGGAATCTTACTTATGGATCTGTCTGGATTATGTCCGATTTTGAGATTTTTTCTTCAGATTTACATCATTTGAAGATATTTTTTTACTCCAAAAAGTTATTTTGATTTTTCAAGTTCAACCTCATTTCTCAGAATCGTCATCCAAACAATTTTCACATAAAACAGTAATTTAATTGAACCTTCAAACGCTAGCAAAGATTTCAAATTCTTCAGAAAATCCTAAGTCTATCTTCAACTTTAAAGACAAGAATTTAATTAACTTTTCGTGTCTTAAATTGATTTTAAAGCTTTTGATCTTGCCAAACAAAAAAGTTTATAATCACTTTGAGATTTTGCTTATTTCAGCAAATTTTGGTTTATTTTCAATTTTCTTCATTTTCTTGCAAAATTTCTTTAAATCCTGTTTACAGAAGTTTTTAAAAATTTAATTTTTCACAAAATTGTTTAAGTGATTCCTCAACAAGTAAAAGCATTTCCACGAGTTTCTCTGTAAGTTCTTTTTTTTTCAAGGAAATATGAATAAATTAATCAGGAAAAATTTCATCAAATATTCAAAGACATCACGTCTAATAAATCTTTTGAGGAAGATTGGATTTTGAATGACAAAGTTTGTCGATTGTTGAGTAAAGATTTATTCAATAGGTGTTCAGAAGTGCGGGTGGAATTGCTTGAGAAAGTTTAAATTTGAGTTTTGAGAATTTTTATAAGTTTGTCATTCAGTGTTGTTGGCTGTGGGATTTGGAGGAAGTTTAAGATTGCTTAATATGTTGTTGTTTACTTATGTCTTATTAAATGATCAAAATAAGATCAAGGATCTGTTGAAATGATCAAAAATGGTCAAAAATGATTAAAAAGTTATCAAAAATGATCAAGATATAATTTATCAGTTCCGCACGCTTAAAAAGGATATATATAACATGTAAAGGATCAGAAACCAATCAGACTTAAAGTTTTGACAATCACTTGCTGCAATAGAATATGACATTATCCCTAATTGTGTATTAAGATTCGATAGTGATTAGAACCAAATTAAGATTTTTATTCTCTTGTTTTAGTTTTTGTGACAAAAACTTATTCGACCTGTTTCACTAAAGTGGATTATCCTCGATTTCGGATTATCCACTTCAGTTTTTTGGAAATAACTCCAGACGCTTAAGGTTATTAAGAGATCTAATGTGTGATCTAGTTTGAGTACTTTGCTAATTAAATTAACATATACTTAGAATTTTTTATATCTTCATTAGTTTGAGAATTATAGCAAAAATCGAAGTTAATCTACTAGATTTGGCTAGAAAATTGAATAAATAATACTTCTTAACGAAAAGTAAAAGTTTAAAGTATACAGAAATTTCAGGCATAGTTCACTCTATTAGAATCCAAAAGAAATATAAGAAACATAGAAATACCACACCTCGCATAAAGTTTAAGATATTTACAAAAAACTGATTTCGAATAATCCGAAATCGAGGATAATCCACTTTAGTGAAACAGGCCGAATGTTTTATGCTTCTATCCTCTTGCTACAGCCTTTACTTAATATATTAGAAATATCTAACCACTTAAGACCAATAATTCTTAAAACTAGCTTCCAACAGAACCAACAACTCTGACTTTAAACATTTTTCTACGAGCTTATAAAGAAAAATTTGAATTTTTATTGAGAAAATTTTTCTACAAAAAAAAAATGCAATTTTCTTTTAAAAAGGAATATAATGTGATTATTGCCAATATCATTCATATCTGCACAGCTTTTCATACAATCTTGCTTCATATCAGCTTGCAAAGAAAAATTCTTTTTGAAGTTGAAGATTCACTTTGGGAAAAAAATTGTCAAAGACGAAAGAAAAAAATTGTTTGAAAAGTTTTTAATCACAGAAACCTTTGAAATTTTACTTTACGAATAATTTTGTCATTTTTTCAACCTTCCCTTTTGTAAATACTCAAAATTCAAGTTCTGTTCAAATTTAATAGATGTGAGTAAGAACAAGCTTGCAAATTTAACCCAACAATAATTCAGCAATTAAAATTGCGAATTTGTAGCACACAAAAAATTATACAAATTCAGAATATTTTAATTATTCAGATCCAGTGGTTTTGAAAAATGATTTGAATAAATTGAATATTGATACACAAAATTGAAAATAATTCAGGCAGAAACAAAGTCGGTCAGCATTAATGACTATTTGATTTTGTTAATTTGTTCCTAATTTGCATGAATTTGAAATGTTTCAAGGCTTATCATGATCAAATAATTACTTGTTTTTATCATCCATAGATCCATAATGTCCACATTTTCCACAACATACGATGCTGAAAACAACCTTTGGTACGGACCAAAAGTCAGCCCGATTTACAATCCAGATCAAAATATTGGTGCTCTCATCCTGAATATCCTTCATCAACGTGGATCAAGCATTGCTCAAATATCAGCAGACTCTGGAATCGCATTGACATGTCAGCAACTTCATAACAGGACCATCGTCATGGCTGAATATTTGAAGAAATGCAATCTTCAAGAAAATGATTATGTTGGGCTAGTCGTGAATAATTCTGAAAATGTTATGGCTGTTGCCTTTGCCTGTTATGCTTTAGGAATTCCAGTCTGTCCATTGTCTCCGATTATGACTTCTCTTGATATTTGCAACATTTATGAAGTCGTCAAGCCAAAACTGATTTTTTGTGACGAGTGCAATCTGAAAGTTGTTCAGGAAGCTGTAAATGCGATTAAGAGCAATGCACGAATCATCACAGTCATGGAGAAAGTTAAGGGCTATGAATGTGCAACGGATATCATTATGGAAGGGGATTATGAGGCTGTGGACAATTTTGTGTGAGTATGGAGCTTAGTTCTTATGTCTGAGGAAGATCTTTTGCCCAAAAAATAATTTCTGGTTTATTTCCATCCACAGTCCACCATATGTCAGCTCAGATAAAATCCTTGGCATCATCTGCTCATCAGGATCAACAGGAACGCCAAAAAGAATCATCAAAACCCACCGCGACATGATCAATCAATTCTTTTCTGGTTGGAAGTTACCACGCTACAGACCAGCTGTATTTTTCACATATTCACCACTCTTTTGGATTTCTGGATTCAACGGGACAATCTTTGCTGTCCTCAACTATGCAACAAATGTCATAACGACTGAACTCTTAGTTCCAGCAGCTGAATTTGTCGACATAATCCAGAGATATCGAGTCACGTACTTGACAACTCTTCCATTCACAATGTCCAATATAATTGAGCTTAAGAATTTAAAGCCATTTGAGACTGTTGAATGCTGGATGATAAGCGGTTTTGCAGCAACAAAAGCTCTTTGTGAGAAGTTTGCTCCTTTATTGCCGAATGGTGAAATTTGGATTACGTATGGACTGTCAGAGACGAGTATCGTGTCATGCAATAATACCTGTGATTACTCTCATATTGGATTTTTAAATCAAAATTGTGTTGTCAAGGTAAATATTTGATGGTCATTGTCCACTTTTTGGATTCTCTTTGTGCTTTGATTTTGCGGTAATTAATTGGATGTACAGAACGGCTTATGTTACTGTGGGGTTGTTCAGTTATGATGGGAGATACTAATAGGGAAGGTTTTTTCGAGTTGTGTGATTAAGTCTTAAAAAGAGGGCTTGTGGGTTCCCAAAAAGACGACATCATTTGCGAACGACTCCAAAGCCATTCAACCACAAAAGCCTATGTAAAATATTTCAATTCCTTCTCATATCCTATTCAGTTGATTGATGTTAATGGAAACAATGTCGGTCCGAATGAGCAAGGGGAAATTTTAATTAAGGCAGAGCCAAAATTCTCTGGCTATCATTTGGATCCAAAAAAGACAGAAGAAGCTGTTCCAGATGGCTGGTTCCATACAGGAGATATTGCATTTTTTGATGACAAATGTCGATTGCATTATGTAGACCGAAAAGTAGAAATTATGAATTATGAAGGATACTACATAATCCCACATGAAATGGAGTCACTCATTAATGAAGTCGATGGGGTGGTTAGCAGTTCTGTTGTGGGATATTTGGAGAAAAATTCAATCAATTACATTGTTCATGCATTCGTTGTGCCTGATGAGACGAAGGACATCAGAGAGAATCAGATTACGGACCACGTTCATGCTAAAGTCATTGAGCAACGTCAACTTCGTGGTGGCGTTCACTTTGTGAAATCATTTCCGCTTGGTAGAACTGGAAAAGTAGATAAGATAAAATTGCGAGAAATGGCAATGAAGCTTTCAGCATGAAACAAAATCTGTTGAATAAAATAAAAATAAGGAAAATTCTTTTAAAGTCAAACTTCCTTTCAGATTTATAAAGCTGAAAATAAATAATTTAAATTGGAATCAAAGAATTTTCGCACGCCGAGTAATCCTATTTGCTGGAATTAGAGAGAGTCAGAATAAGTAGGAATGGCATTGAAAGAATAAAATGAAAGTGCATTTTTTGAATAGAAGTAACTTAGTTCAATTGTAAGCTGATCTGGTTATTATTATTATTTATTTATCTATCATAAGGAAAAGCCATTTTAAATGTATTAAAATGTATGATTTTGCCGACATTTAGACTATAACAACAGATTAAAAGAGCATTGGAGAGACTGACAGCGAGAAACAGGTAAGAGAAATCCAATTATAAAGCATTAAAATTTTGAATTTTTGTTAAAAGACTTTTTCATGTAATTTTAGCTATCAAAATCATCCGAAAGACTTAAGGTAGCTGTTATCGGAACACATTGAGATTGGACACAAACTGTTTTGTCTAAAATTTGAAGGAATGCATATATGCACCGCTTTTCTTATTAGCAATGGTAAATTGTTGTACACGTTAACTCCAAAGTGGTGAATATCTTTCCTTCCATAATTGTTTCTTGAAGTTGATGGACGCAGATTCATTTTGGTCCGTGCTCCCTTATTGCACTCAAATGAAATATTTGTATGAATGGATTTGTTTCTGCATAGGAAGATGAATAATGCTGTGTTTATGTAATTCATTGCGCGAACGGGGAAAATATTATCTGTTGTGAGTTTTTTGTACATTTCAATTCTATTGTCCAGCCTATTAAATCCATACATGTTCCTTAACATTCGATTTTGGATTATTTGTATTGGTTTGATGACTGTGTCGCAGGCATTCCCCCAAACGGTTATCATATAGTTGATGTGTGTTGCAAAGAGTGAATGATAAATTTTTTTCTTGGCTGTGAATGGCAGAACGTTCTTTAGCTTCCACATTATGCTTGAAGCCATAGATAATTTCTGTTGAACATGCCTTCCATGAATATCCCATTTCAAGTGAGGATCCAGATGAAGTCCTAAGTACTTCATTGATGTAGACTGCGTGATTTCATACTCATCATTTATTTTGATTGACTGAGGCTGTACACATTTAATGAAAGGGGAATGAAAGACCATAAAATTTGTTTTTTTAATATTTATGATCATTTTCTGGTAGTCTAGAAAGTTGAGTATTATTTCCATGTCATTTTTGATTACTGTTGCAATGTCATCTTTTGGATTATGTTCATTAATCAGCGCCAAATCATCAGCATACAAAATTATCGTGCCAGATAGTCCATTCAGCTTGGTAATTTCATTGAAAAATATATTAAATAGTAGGCTACCCAAGATACTACCCTGAACAACGCCATATTCCACTTTCAGTGGTTTACTGATCTTGGATCCTATTTTGACAGATTGGAATCTCGAAAATAGGTAGCTTGCAATAATTTCCTCAATTTTTCCTCTAATATTAGTCAGGTTTAGCATTTGCATGAGAATTTTCCTGTCCACCAAGTCAAAAGCCTTTTTTATATCCATGAATACGACTATCTTCTTCTTGTCAAGTGACTTTCTAAGCGTACTTACTAACTCGGTTGCAGCGGTTTCAGTGCAACTTTTCGGTCGAAATCCAAATTGCTTATCAGACAGGCTATTATTTTTCATTACAAATTTGATAATGCGATTGTAAAGAAACTTTTCTACTATCTTGTTAAATGTGGAGAGTATTGAAATAGGGCGTAGATCATTAATATCATTTTTTTCCCCGTTTTACTTATTGGTTCTTTATATAAGTGGTTTTGTGCTAAGGTACCGAATAATAAACATAGCGACCATAGAAGCAAAAGTGCCTTGATAGCTCAGTTGGCAAGATACAGGACACAATAGTTGGAGTTGAATTTAGACTCTCAGGTTCAAATCCCACCAAGAACCTAGTGAGCTTAAAAACTAAGAATTAGGCGATGTGAGTTGAGGAGCAGGTTAAGAATCATGCAGACAGAATGAGAAAAATACGAGAGCCGTAAATTCACCAACAAGGACTTTTACTGGAACGGATCTGGAGACATTGTGACACTAGTAAATTGGAACACTAGTTCTAAGATCTTAAGAGTTTTTAATTGGCTGCTGGAAACACAACTGCTTTGTGAAGGTTAGTACATTAGCTGAAAAATACTCGACAGAAGCCTTATGCATTGGTTAAGGGTTCATAATATGAAGCAAGACTCAAGCTACATCCTCTAATTTTAGTTCAACTTTATCTTTAAAACAAAAGTGCTGCAATAAACAAACCAGACAAATTGTAGACTCAGCAGCTTCATTTCCTGTAACAAAAAGCCCACCAAAAAATGATAAATAACTCTAAGCTTCTTATTTATGCTTTAGTTGTTTTATTTTTTGATATGCGAATAAAATTTCTCATTATCATTCATTTTTAATATGCATTGAATGTGAAATGTGTGTGTGTGTGTGTATTTAAGATATCATAACTAGTTTTCGATTAAAAATATCTAATAAGTCAAAAAAAAAACAAGAATGTTAATAATTCAGTCCTCATAAATCCTAAAGATGTGATTGACCAGTGCCTTTTGATATATTCACTCATTCCTGTCATATTATTAAACTATCTGATTCACTCGCTATTGATAAATGTGTTTTATGTATATGTGGTGATATCGTCATTCTTAAATCTTTATCCTTTTTTGCTGGTGTTGTTGGATATTTTAATGCGCCTGTATATTTTCTCGACTGTCCCAATGCTCGAGGGGGCTTAGCTACTAAGTTTGGTATATCAATATTTATGCTGCCTTTTGGTATTATTGCGACAATCTAAAATGAAAAATGAAGAATTTGAGAGATTTGTCATTGATTGTAGCTTTAGATAAGCTTGAGGATGGATTGCTAGATAGATTGATGTGCTTCTGCCCAAAAATCTTGACTATCATCTCATAAAGTTTCGAGATTTCATTCAAGAACAAGCCATAACCACTAAGGACAACTTACTTTTGGAAGCTGTTGATAATCCTCAACATTTTTCAAATTTGGAAGACTTTTCGATGGTGTTATCGTGAGATTTGTGTGAATTAGTTCATAACTGTCATTAATAAAATTCCTATTACTATTATTAATATTTTGCTGATTATTAATAGCATCTTCATCCTCTTCATTGAGATTATTGAGTAGTTTCGTCATTTTTCTATTAAATATTTGCGACACTATTAAATTAACTTCATTTCCAGTGTTTTGTAATATTTCTAAAGCTCTCCCGTACGGCAGATTCAATAATGACTGTCCATCAACTGAAACAATTTGATCACCAACTCTAACTCCTGCCTTATCGCCAGGTCCATTTTTGATAATTTCACGGACATAAACATAATTGTCTGTTTGCCCTTGAATGATGGATATACCCATTGAATATCCTGTAATATAGCTATCTACATTAGAACTAAATGCTAAGTCCTTTAATGATTGAGATTTATGGATCAAGTGTTCTGAGAAGACTGGACATTTGATTATGTTGATTTGTGATAAAATTCGATCATTTGCACCTGTGCATGATAAATTCTCAAACTTTTCTGCCAATGATGTCGAAAGGACCGTCTCATTTGGCATTGTAAAGTTGTTTCCAAGATTCATGCTGCTTTTTATGCTGGAATCTACAATTAGAAACAGAACAATTTGTGTAAATGTGGATTTGATTGGAATGGGGTTGGTGGTAAGTGATGTCTGTCTGAATTTTGGATTTTTGGAGCGTTTCACATCTTTTAATTGTCCTTAAAAATCTAATTGTCAGTAAGACATCATTTACGAACGACCCCCTATCAATCAAATCGACTAATTCCTCTTAATTAGACTTACGTAAGACGACAGCCTCATTATTCTCTTCCGATTTTGCCTCATTATTTTCCTCATCAAACGAATGCTTCAGATTAAGTGCACCCCACGAGTCAACTCGAAGCATATCCTGATAATTCTCACTCAGACTCTCAAACGATTTATTGAGCTGTGAGGAGGATGAAAATGCTCGAGTTCCCATTTTAACCTTATTCCTTATAATTGGTGATCTAACTGATAGATCAATCATAGATGGAAATTGAGGCCGTTCGACTTCCTTGTTTAAATTATTTTCATTCACATTTTGCTCCATGCTTCGCTTCAAATCGCAGACAGTTGACTTTGAGCGACGTAGAATTCGATCCTTTAACTTCATTAATCTCGTATCATTCAGAACAGACTTTTTTAAATTTCTCACTCTCGGTCCATTTGTCTTTGATATTTTATCAATTTTGATATTCAATTCAGGACATACTTCCTGATTGCTAAGTGATATGTTCAATTCATCTGCTATTGACTTTATAGACATGAAACTATTTTTCAATTTAATATAGAACTTATGATGCTCGGATGCAATGTTGAATGCAAAGAAGCTCCTGGAAAAAGAGAATATAAATGAGTTTTTATTGATATGAATTCACGATGATAAAAGTTATTGGATATGTTATTGACGATTGATTTGATTATTATTAGCAGTCCGTAGCATGGGAAATTCTTTGACTTTTATTAGCTTCTGAATGGATTTTTTTTAAATTTAGAATTCAATAAAAATCCAATTAAAGATAGTGAAATCAGAATCAACATTGCTAGATCCTACACTAGCTATTTCAACATTGATTTAAAATTATTTTGATTTAACGGTTTTGTATAATTTGAAAAGTAACAAAAAAACTTTCAAATTTTACAAAACCGTTAATTTTTGAAATTTTGAAAAGCCGTTAAATTAACTCACTTTCTGTTGTCCATCTTGATTTTATACTTTACACGATCCTTATTCTTATTATTATTTGCATTAATATTCAGCTTCCGTACAACAATACAGAAAATTTGCTTGGAAAAGCATAAATTCTCAATCTCCAACCAATCAAATTGCTCATAAAGCAGTCGCTTATTATTGCCTTTTTTATTAATATCTCTGCCTCTTTTTGCATTCATCATAACATCACTGTTGTATCTTTCAAAGATGCATATTCCATTTAATCCAATTCCAATATAGACACTCAATTCAATTTTATCATCGCGTGCCCAAATTCCGCTCAGATAATGAAATCCATAATCTTTCATTCGCTGTAAATACCTTATGAAATTATGTTCCGCTTCGGTTGGATGAAGGCCACGTTTGCTATAATGTGAATTCCTTAAATATCTAGCCAATTCTTTTTGCTGCTGATAAACTCCATCGGGTAAATATTGTGAGATTGTGAAATATTCAATATATTTCATCTAATGGAAATGGTAGGAAAAAAGAAATGAGAATTTACTGCTGTGTTCTATGAAAATTTGATTAAAGTAGATTTGTGATGCTGTGAATAAGGTGGATGGTGAGGCTCATTTTTCATTTGATCAAAAATGGATTGAAATATATTGGAAAATTTAACGGCTTTGGAAATTTTAAATAAATCGGTAAAATTCTAATTTTACAAAACTTTTAAAATTTAAATTCTACAAAACCGTTAACATTTAAATTCTCAAAAAGCAAGCAAGGGGTCGTTCACTTATGACGTCCATCAAAAAACCTGATTTTTACACCCCCCTCCCCCCCTCTGTGACAAAAATTCTATAGAAAAAAATTTCCATTGTTTGAACTGTCACAAAATCCTAGACCCCCCCCCCCCCCAAATGTCTGACGTCATAAGTGAACGGCCCCAACCAAAGACTCTTTTTTTACCTCCTCCTGAAAGTCTCCGACTTCAGCTTGCAACGCTAATCCGCCAAGAGTTATCAAATCATCATCTGTGCAAATTATATGATTTTCTAAAACCGATTTACGTAACTGCAAATATAGGGTATGTCGTGACTCAAGCGAGAGCATTCGTAATGTTGGCAAGAAAAACTTTATTCGCATGTATAAAGTGAATGATATAATTTCCGTCGTCATCTTCTTATTTGTCGATTGTATCCACATCTGTGGTGCGACTTTATAAATTTTTAAATCCGCTGGCAAGAATACAAAATCGCCTCCGATTAAAGCACACAGACCGAAAATGTAATTTTCATGAATTTGTTCTGTACGAATTATCGCTTCGAAGATCTTTAATGCTGTAGTTGAAATTGAATCGCAGATAATGTCATAAACTTTTCCATTTAATAAGAGAACTTTGACTGTTCCTTTATTCAAGCACTGAATGTTGTGGCGGGAAAGAAGAAATGAAAAAGAACCTTGAGTTAATGAAATTTTGATTAAATTTTATCTCGGTATACCTTATTATCAGTTATATCAAGAACTTTTGTTTCTGTATTTGAATCCACAATGAATTCTGGTCCTGATAATGCCTTCTTTTCATTGCCATGCTTCAAAACATTATCTCTCTTAATCTTCATATTTGGAAGCGTCGAAATTCTCATTTCGCCCTCATAAATCGCATTAAGATTTGAACTGGATCTAGACATTGTTCTCTTTGTGATTCCGATATCAGCCAATGCTGTTGCAACATCACTACTGGATACATCGACAGTAAATCTTCGACCGCCACGTGGATTTTGGATTTGATTTTCATCCGTCTCACGTAATTTAGGCTTTAAATAGTCGGGCGATGGTTGTGTAATTTCCGGGATATTACTCATGCTGACGCTATTGCTGTATTTAGGTCGTGGTAATGAAAAATATTTAAATGTTTCTATATCCATTGGTTTTGCTGATTGTTGAGGATTATCATCTCGATAATCTGACGATCGCCCAGAGTCAGTGTCACTTCTGTGGATTAGATTAAGTTGATTTTACATTATAAAAGAGACTGTCAGTGTTTGCCAATAGACTTTGGCATAAACCTTTAACTCACTTGATTTCATCCTTATTCGAAGTCTCAATACTCAGTATATCGTTATTATTTTCTCTATCCTGTCGCTCCTCACGCTCAGTAAGTGTAGGAAATGTTATATTTTGAACAACTCGTTTAAATAAATCCATAATGATGTGACTGAATGGTTTCGATTGATGAACATTTCTGCAATAATCGGAAATAATCTGTAAAAGAGAAGCAAGTAAATTGAGATATAAGATATTTATATATGCACAATAAGATGTGATTAAATAAAGTCAACAATATTTTATCATCAATTTTCCACAATGTATTTAAAATCATTTTCAATTTCATCACAAATAGCACCAATTTCTTCATTAAATCTATCTAAGACATAAGATTCAGTAATTTTATCATATAATTCATCGTCTCCGACTGGAATATAACCGCTCAATTCACAGAAAGCCACGTTTAAATGTGAACTGAAAAGCTTATTAGCACCAAAGTTTGAGAGGAAGCGTGGGAAGAAGAAAATTCGTATTTCTTTGAGATCTCTTGACTTTGTTAATGATATGTTGTGGGGAATAACTTTTTCGCAGCAATACTTGACAATAGCATTCAACTTCTCAGCGTCTCGTTTAATGTCTTTAAGTATCATACAGAAGGCAGGAATTTTGTAAGCTCTATATAAGTTTGAAGCGATGTGCTTGAGTTCCTAAAAATAAATTTTATATTTGAGGATTTTTTGAGGTGAGTTGTTTGGTTCAGAGTTGTCGATAAGGTGTATGTGGATAATTAACTGGCAGAATCTCTTTTCGGTGTCTATTAGCAGTTACAAACTGGTACAATTAGAATCATCCTAAAAGTAGCTCGAGACATCTTCAAACCGCTTCTGTTTTAGATAAAACCCAGTCTTGCACATCATAACACCCAGTTCCAACTCTGTCAAACATAATTGCCTTTAAACTCACAATATTTTCAATATACAAGTCATGCTCAACATGAACCAAATGAAGATGCAAGTGATTTACACTTGCGAGAGCACCAGGTGAGTTGTATCCTATTCTCACAGCTTTATCATCCGTCGAACTCATAATCGTTAAAGCTACTTCAATACAATCCTGAGTAATGACTTGTGGAAAGCATGATTTCAGTTGAGGAACAATCAAAACGTGATATTTGGTCAACGGACTATTGTTTATCACAATACTCACGAGGATGTCATTAAGTAATACTTTCTCGAACAGAATTTCACGTTGATCTATTTTTGTGAAATTGAATTTATCATTATCGAATTTTGGTACAATATTCAAGAACTTATCAGCTTCTCTTCGCTTTGTCGCACGATCTTTGTTTTGCTAAAAATAAATTCCCAATTTATTTATCTAATTTGAATTGATTTTTGAGAAAATTTTTTATCACCTGAATTAATAGCTTTAAATCTCCATCAATAACTTTCTCTTTTGAGATATTAAGTATGTAACGAAACACTTCTGGACTATTTTCCAAACAATAGTTCCAAGATTCTTTGACTTCATCAACTATTGATTTAATTTTCCCCGTCATGTCTTTTTGCTTCTTGCTGACACACGCGAATGATACTTAATGACTTGAAATGCAAGACTATATTCGGAATACATGCAAAACTCAATTGCATTTCATTTCTGTAGTGTGAAACAATCACGGAAGTGTCATTTTTGGTTTATTATTGAATTTCGTTGACGTGTGTAAAGTTGTGGGTGAATAAGTTTGAAAGAACTTGGGGATTTATTGATTTTATGATGTTTTCTTGTAAAACAGCATTAGTTCTCTTGATATTATTAAGATTAATGCCTTAAATAGGACGTTAACTATAAGAAATCTAATTAAATTCAAGTTGAACTCAAATTAGCAACAAATCCTGTTTATAAACACGAATGTTATGCAAAAACGAGTTATCCAATTTAGCAAAGACACACTTTTGAATTTAAAAAAACGGTTTCAACAGCTTTCAAAGAAAAAGCTTCAAGCTTATTTAATATAAAGCTTTATATCAGAGGATATATCCTAATTTGAAACTTTTCTCTGAATTTTGATAATTTGATAAAATATTAAAATGGAAAGACAAAATATTACAACTTTTATCCGAATTTTTCATAAAAATTCCCATCGATAAACACCCACTCAATCCTCAAAAGCAATATCTCAACAAAAATCACGGTGAAAAGCAATAAATCATATCAAATTTCACCGGGCCTATTAAGAGCGCTTAAGAAGAATCTCATCAATTAAAAAGTGCCTGGAGAGATTAAAAACTTTTTACAATTCCCAAAAAAAAAAACATTCTCAGTCGTGTTTTCAAAGTCTTACAAGTAAGAAGCTTGAAACTTTATATTGTGCGAGAGTTGTCATATTTTCTTTTCGTCAATAAACAAAAACACATCGCTCATGTGTTACAAAAGTTTGAGAGAGGAAACATTTTTTAATCATCAGAGTGATAATGTTTATAAATATTAAAGTGAGTTTGTCTATGGATTGCAAAAATGAGTAGACATAAATAGTGTTGGCGGATGCTTAATGCGTATTTGTAGAATTTGTGAGGAATTTGAATTGTGATTTGAATATTTTGGATTGTTTAAAGTTTAACGGTTTTGTGAAATTCAAAATATTAACGGTTTTTTATCTGGTAACTGAAAACTGAACTCAAGCAATCCGCTAAATTGAGTAAAATGGCAAACTAGAAAATTCTGCTTCCCACAAATTTATAGTAACATCTCATTTTTAAGTTATTCATGAATAAAATTACATAAAAGTGAAAATAAACATAAATCCTCCCCTATATAACTCCTGACAATATCATTTACCACACAAGCAGTTCCCTAATTTTGTAAAACTATAAAAATTTAAATTTTTGTTATTATCATTGCTTCTATTTTTGACGACTAGAAATACGCAATCATCCTGTTTGCATTCAATTTCTACTCCCACATCCACGCACTTAGCGATTCATCTCCACTCTATGATAAAATGTACGATGCAATCACCAGAATTTCACAGCAAATGGAAATGTTTAATGTGCATTACATAACCAAGCTTGATGAAAAATTTGTTACAATCATGCAAACGATAAGTGCCATGGATGCGAACATAAAAAATTTACAGGAACGCTCACAAGCTTGGGATGTATTTACACATCATATGAGTGCTTGGAGTGAGCACATCAAAAGTACAGATCAAAAGTTTGATATACTCAAAAAGCATCTCGACAGTCTTCCCGTGATGGAGAATCAATTGCAAAATACAGATTTTAAAATCCAGCACATATTCGAGAAGACGGATTTAATAAATGAAAAATTTAATGAAATGAATAAATCAATAAAGTCGGTAGGAAAATTAAAACAAGGATCAAATAAAGCAGCACCACCAAAAGCATCGCAACCACAAAGGAATTGGAGTCAGGAAGATTTTGAACAAACGGAAATACTTTTGCGACTTTCGAAGATACAAAGATTGATACTGAATCAATGTAGTGTAATAAGATTAGATAGGGAATTTGAGAATAATAGTGGTGGTGGAAATGGTAACAGAGGAATTGGAAGTGAAGAAAGTAACGATATAAAATCAATTCTCGCACAAATTAATTCAAACCTCGAAAAGTTTCCCCACAAAGAAATTAAACAATCGTTCAATTTGAACAAGAAACATGAGAAAGCACTCGATGCATTAGCAACAACTGTAAGCCATATTGATGAGCGTACTGTAAGAATCTTTGATACAAACTCATATCAATATAAGAAAATTCAATCAACTTACAAAAATACCGAGGGTGAAATTTTAACATTTACAAATAATGCCAACTTTTTGCTTAAGAAAGTCGAGAAAGCTATGAAAAGTGCTGTAAATCATCGCAATTATTCACCAACTCCTACTGACAATGAGAAATGCAAAAATTCAACTGTCGTAAACACTACAGAAAAGAGCGAGGTAACACAAACACAGGACGATAGTGATGAAGTTGAGGATGACATAATCGACCAGAAAGGTAAATGTTGCATTATGTTCTTCATCTATTCCTGTTTCTTATTCTCATTTGATGATGTTTTTCTGGATTTTTTTCATACGGTTGGTGACTTTTGTGATTAAATAGGAATTTTTCATCTGTAAATGCTCTACTTTTGGTGATTAAGAAATGTTGGAGGGAATTTTTGGAATGAATTGTTCATTTTTGTGATGAACTAAGTGTTCCTGAGTATAAGAAGGTGGGGGAAGTTTTAGATTGAATACTATAGACACATATTAGTGGTTGTATTGAACTCAACAGCACAGTAGGTTTCGAACCTATGAATCTAAAGTTTACCTTGCCAATTTACCATATTTTAAACATTAAAATATTAATAAATGCTGCTAATTATTAAACCTGTTGCTTCGAAACTTCAAGCATTTCTGCTTAACAATGCTTATATTAATTTATTGTTTATTGTTCTTACTGTTGTGCTTTGCAAGCATCATTCAAATTTAACTCAATTGTACTTAATGTGTTCAAGTTCTGAATCCATGCTTTCAACTTAAACGACAAAAAGTTTATTTATGTAATTTTTTTTATAGCTTTTAAAGTTCTCTGATAAATTCAATTTTCATACAAACATTTTTGTTTTTAATTGAAAACATCCATCGACCAGCTTTAATGGATGCACTCCAAAGAGATTAAATTGAATTTCCAGTGATTCATCTCAGAATCAACCACAAACAACACCGCACATCCAAATAAAGATGCAATCCAAAAAAAGCTTTTAAAAATCAATAATGAAAAAAAAGAAGCAACAAACTTTTAATTGAAACCACACCAACAAGCATTAAGCTGCAAGTAAAGCATTCGTTTTAATAAATTATTCCTTTCTGTTTAATTTAAGGAGAAATTTTAATTATCTGCTCAAAATTTATTAGTTTCTTGTGTGCACATATGGGAGTGGGTGGAAGGCAGCAGGTTGAATTTGGTGTAGGTGGAACTATGGGAGGTAATAGAAGAGTAACTATTAATTTATAAATTCAATTCAGTATAGAAAGAAAGTGTTTCTTCTGGGATCGGCTAGTTTTAAACACCTTATCCAAGGTATGGTTAGGTATAGTCATAGAATATAGCTTTAGGGGACTCTTTGTTATAGTCTTAGGGATTGCTAAAGCATTCATTAAGATTATAGCTTAGATATACATCAAGTTTTCAACATTAGCAAGCCTTTTGATACCCCTGAGTTTGTTCCTGACTCTATTGAGCTATTATACAACCCTGTCAGCGTGCATATGTGGGAATCATAAATTATTCCTCGAAAAGAATTATAAACTAATCAAGAACATTCAAAATTCGCTTAAATTATCTCATCCTAGCTTACATTCACCACCATTTTCACATCTTTTCTCTCTCACTCTCTCATTTTATGCAAATGTTGAGAATACTCGACTCGATTTAAAAAGTCATAATCGCATACTTACGTTTATTGTAAGTAGTTCTCATATCTATTAATATCCATCTTCAAGTTAATATTTACGTAAGACAGAAAAAGTAATATCAGTATCTAAATGAAATATCCGGACAGAATATATCCAACCGACGAAGACAAATTGCTTTCAACTCACAAGCGGACGAAGTGGCGTGTATACATTCAATAATGAGCGTCAGTTTAACACCGGTGGAAGAGATTTCTATCAGCAATATTGCGAATATTCAACGGAAGGAACAGCATGGACTGTCATACAGAAACGTGACAACTTTGAATTACAGGAGGAATTTAATCGTACATGGAATGAATACAAGCATGGCTTTGGAAATTTAACAAAAGATTTTTGGTTCGGGAATGATTTCATACATAAGTAAATTATTTTTAATCCTTTATCATGTTCCTTCCACTTTTTTTTGTACCTTTTTATAGCATTTTAATATTTTAAGTGCATTTTTTATCGGGATGTTGTTGAGATGAGGATGTGATGCTTGTGGAGTGACTGGTAGTCCGTACCATATCGCATCTACTTCCCTGACTTAAACAGCATCTTCCCGAAAAATGCGCTACCACAAAAAACAGTCACATGTACTTTCTAACTTTAATTCAACCCTTTTCAGCTTAACGTTCGAACACGATATGGTTCTACGCATTGTTCTCGAAGATTTTAAGGTATTTATTATGTAAATTGACTATAAAGTCATTTAACTTTAAGTACGTAGACAAATAAATTTATTTTAATTGCTATTCATGCACATGGCACTCACACATACATTGACGATGACAAAAAAAAATCGCGTCCTTATGCACAAAAGGATAATCACGTTTGGATTGAATACAGCACATTTAAAGTCGAAAATGAAGCGGAGAGATATCGATTGAATATTAATGACTATCGTGGTGCTGTTGCAGACAGTTTATTATCTCATGATGGCCGAAATTTTAGCACATACGATGACTTTTTCACATCCGACAATTCATCATTGTCTTGTGTTATGGAGATGGGGTCTGGTTGGTGGTGGTCATTTATATTGAATGAGTAAGTTTTCCGACTAATATGTTTTCTATGTAAATTCAATGAATATCCATTTCCAATATTGATTTAGATGTGCAGAATCAAATCTCAATGGGATCTATGAGCCATCGGGTATTTTCACAAATAAGTCAGATGTAATAACAAAAGTTGGAATCTTTTGGAAAAATTGGCTTGGGATGTCACCTTTAAAAGCATCAAGGATGATGATACGACCTAGAGATGTATGGTTTAATGGCAATATGTCAGTCGAAGATTACAATCAATTGGATGATGTTTAAAGTAATCTCTTGACTATGGAATTTGTTCCATCTTATATTATGTACAATAAAGATTTATATCCTTAGTAATAATTCTTTTTTTCGGTCTGTTTGGATGTTAGGTGACGTTACAAATGGTCCAATGCTTAGTTCGATGTTTATCGCAAGGCTGTTAAAGCCAGATTCAATTCAGTCTGTCGAATTCTACATTATTAAGTATTTCCTAATATCCAAACGACTCTACTCTTCCTTAAAGCAACACAAGGCTCTTCTTTCATCATCATCGACTAACTGATGACCGCAGGCATTTTTCTTCAAGTAATTAATAAATGTGAAGAATTCAGATAATTGAATTAAGTTGGGGTGGAGTTACTTTTCAATCATTATGGGAATTTCTCATTTTCTTCAGGAATTTCAATTGAAAGGAGAAACTTTTAAGTGAGAACTTCCAGTTTTCCCCCCACAAAAAAAGGGATGAAAAAAATTCTTTAAAGTTTTCAAACTAAATGCAAGCAAAAAAGGGAACAAAGTTGAATTTAAGGCTTCCTTTTTAAAAAAGATTCATGTCACAAATTTATTGAAATGGAAATATGATGGATATGGATTCAGTTTTGTGCTTCAAGGGAAAATTACTTTAAAAGGAAAATGTTTCTGGTTTCTATGAAATTATTGAAAGGGAGTTGGAGATCCCCATCCATCAAAAAGCTATTATTGAGGTTTTTAATGCTCAATTGATTTAGATGGGAATGAATGCTTTAGTTTAGCTTTTAATGAGACATTCTTGAGTTTAAAGCTTTCGTGAACCGCAATTCTTACGTTTTCAAAGGGCAAGAAGCTTACAAACATCTTTTAGAGACCTCCAATTAACTAGACAACCTGCTAGAACCTTAGCAATGACAATGAGATGTTCAATAGTTGTCACTACCAGTAGAGCTTAAATAAATTCAGTTTTTGATGTTAAAAAAGCTAAGAACTCGGTTATGAGCCAGCTTGAGACCAACTTCCTCTTCCTCGAACGTAGTTCTATTTAACAGGATTCGACTAAGAATATACTATGTCAACTAGGTCAAGCTCTGATAATTACACTTCATCATCATCCATTTCAAAATTTACATAGTTTATAATGCTACAGAACTTTCCAACAATCCATCATAATGAATAACTTATCAGAAGTAAACACTTTTAATCATCATCATCATCATCCCACTAAAGTAATTTAATAGAGCTTTCAAAGCTGTATTTAACTCATTCATAATAAAATTAATTTATCTCAAAAACAACATAATTATTTCTGCATTGAGGAGATTTTTACTTAATTCTCAAAACATTTGCTTACTCTTTGTCGAATAATATGCAAAGTTTTGATAAGCTTCACTTCCGTTGCATTAACTATCAAAACATTTCAACCAGGAAATTAATGAGAGGGGATGGAAGACGAAGTGGTTAAGGTACAGGACGTTACAAAGAAGAGATGAGGTCTTAACCCAACCTGGAAATTAGAAATGGTCAAAAAAATAAATCAGCCCCCCAAGAGGGTGTCAGACCTCTCTAATCCCATCAAAATTTGTAGCTTTTGGTCCTGAGCTAGCGTAAATATTCTTCAATTTTCAAAAACTAAGCCACGAAGCCGACCCACCCTTAGATTCCAAGTTGCTCAAAAAAGCAATATCAATGCAAACTCTCAGTACACAACAATCTCCATCATGTCCATAAACACATTCGAATATGAATATTATTATTTGCAAGTGAGTATTTAATGCCCAAAAGTTATATCTTAGCCATAAAAGGAATTATGCTAGTATAAGCAGTAAAAAGCATTGAGTTATTTATTGAAATCAGAGATTCATGTGATGATGATGATGATGATAAACACATCATAAACTCAATAGACTTCTTCCCTCATCCTTTCCATAAATTTGTACACAATGATCATTATATTTTATTTCAGTGAATATTACAATAAAAATATCTGCACACCAAGCACGTCCAACGACAAAAGAAGTTTAGCGATAAATATGTCGGGACTTTCTGCTTTGCCTCCCTCGTCATCATCTACATCTTTCTTTTTTTTTAATTTCATTAAAAGTGTATCGAGTTCTTTTCGGGGTTGCTGGATAAAGTCATAAATTTTAAGGCATAAATGATCTGGATGCTTAATATTACGTATTAAAGATATCATAAATCACGAGACTTAAAGCGATGAAGCAGCGATGATGTGACTCATATTTTATTATAATACCACATGTTTATTTTTGACTATATGAGTTAATTAAAGCATTGTTTCCATCATAATAGGAAGCTTTTTTTGATGAAATTTCTCAGGATTATGACTAGCTCGTGTGAGAAAGCTAATGTAAAGATTGGAATTAATGATGAAGATTTAATTAATGTGGAATTTTCTCTTGAAGTGGCATTAAACTCTTTGGAGATAATCTTTCGAATTTTTTTAGGGGGAAACAACATTATGAGGAATTTTTACTGGTTTTCTATCAATTTTCCACAGTTTTCTCATGAAATTCATTAATTTGGGGAAATTTTGTGTCACAACTTTTTCTCATCAGGTTGTTATCCCCCTTGATATAATTGAGATACCTAAAAGAATATTCTGAACCAATTTGGCAAGTTAACTCTCAAAATGCAGACACAAAATGTCATCGAGTCAAAAAGTCATCACCTCATCAAATTATTTTCCAAAAGAATCTCCTTAAAAATCAACAAGTTCAATTTTATCCTACAACACAGAACATTTATCACGTTAATTAATCGATGCCTCCTACGAGACTATCAAAAAAATCCCAAAACTCAAGGATTATGGCATGCTCTCAAAGTATCATTGGATCAAATTGTGTGACATTGTTCATGTCTCTTGTGAAATATCATGATTATGAACGTTTGAGTGAACGACATCTAACGAAATTACATGGAATGGATGGTAATTTATACAGAAGTTTACCGCTTGAAATTCAAGCTTTCTCGAAATCCCGGTCCCGACAAATTTTCGGGATCGGGATCGGGATTGAAATTTTTCGGGATTGCCTTGAATCATATCTTGTTGATTAAATCTTTTTGATAACATTTTTTGTGTCCCTTTTAAAGCTGTTGAAAGTTGAGGTTTTCGAGTTTATAAAATTTCCATAATTTATTGACTTAATCAATATGAGTTTTCGAGGGTAGGCACGTGATAACTTTAAGCAATTGAGTCGTAAAAATATGATGAAGTGTTGCTGTCGTTTAATATTGTTAGGATACCTTGAATTGCAGATCAGGAGCGTAGCTTGAGGGGTATAATGGATTATTTAGGTAATAGAGAAGTCAGACTAGCTGTAAACAGTTTGTAGTTTCAGCCATACCACTGTTCAATGCTCCAGGTCCTTAATGGATGCTCCAGAACCCACTTTAAGTGACTAAAGGGCATAACAGGATTAGTAAAGACCCCCTCGATTAGATTATCTCTTGATATACCAATCTAGTCCCCAATCCTCACAATACCAGAAGCTAAAACAATTTCTCAATCGACAAAAAAGAAGAGAAAGTTCATGAAGGGAAATGAGAATTAATAACATTGACTTTTGCTACAAATTCATGTATGCTGAAAAATTTATAGCTCCATGACTATGGCATATTGAAAATGACTTTATCAAAAAGCTTTTGTGGAAGTGGAAGAATATGAAGAAGGTCTCACTATTTCACAGCAAGCACAACGGATTTATACATGCTGCTGTAATGTATGCGAAACAAAAAAAAAAAAGTAATAGTCTTGAATAAAAAATAGGGAAGCGTTCTAGCTGGCAATTTATTCTGAAATTGAACCCTTTTTTTCAGAAACAAAACGAAGGAAAAAGGGAGCATAAATTGATAATAGCGGGGGTAGACATGAATTTGAAACTTTATCCTCATTCACATGTTATATCTGTTACTGGCTGTGCCTCATAGACATGCAAATACGTGTGGAAAATTTTTAATGTTTCGGAAAATTGACTTTCGTTTACTACAATACTTACATTAAGTAGAAACATCAGTGATGCTCTCTCATCTACATTGAAATTACACATTTTATAGATTGTTGCTTGTAGAACTATAGCACATTGATTTTGCACCGATTGCATTGACTTTATTGATGTTAATGTTGTTGCTCTCGGAAGTGTTTTCATGAGAGTGCGACCAAGTGAAAAAATCCACATCTAGAATAGGATAAATGAAATAAAAAAGAAAAATTACATTAAAGTCAGAGATTGAAGTATTTTTGGCATTAACAGGAATTTTTTCCTGCAATGAAATATTTCCTCGTGTATGTTTTGTGATGAAAATCTGTCTTTTGTCATTAATTTTGTTTATAGAAGGATAAATTTTGCTTGTATTTGTATGGAAATTCCGTTCAACTAAACAATGGCTAGAATATTACAACGCTTGCCAGTTTTTTGAAGCTATTTTGATTACCAAAATGTCAAATAAAGCTCAATTGATCGATAAAATTAAGAAAAACTTTTTGAAGTGGAAGAAAAAACAAAATGGCTGTTAAAAATTTCCAAAATGAAATTTGAACCCTTAAAAACCGTTTCAAATCTTCTGAACTTATTTTCTATACAATTCATAAATCAGTCAACAAGCGCCAAATTCCTGATTACAAAACTTTTTCCATCCCAAGCTTTCAGCACTTAGAAGTCACAAAACATTAATCCCAAATGTAATTCTCTTTTTAAATTGAAGATTATTATGTCGATAATTTCTTTTCTCGTAATATTAAAGAAAGTTAACATTAAGGAAACTCCACTTCATGCGGAAGAAAGTAATGCTAATGAAATTATGCTCCTTCTCCTCAACTGGATGTAGGAAATGTTTCTCATGAATTACAGAAATTCTTTTTTTTTCTCCTCATTCTTTCATTTCCTTTTCTTATTTTTTGGTATGGTAAGTGATGGATTATGAAAAAAAAAAGCGTTGGCTTCGTAACTGTATACACCGCAATTTGTTCAGATATATTACTGTTGATTATTGTGCCCGTAATTCATGAGCAAGAAAACATTTCCTTAAAAAAAAGTGCTTAATATTTAACGATAACGATAATAATATCGATTTTAAAGGTCTCTTACGCTCCGACAACCAACCATCAGGTAGAAGTGGTTTAAATTCACGAGAAAAAAAATAACTTTTTTCTTTCTTCTTTCATTTAAGGGTTTCACAAACTGTAAATGGATACTTTTTATTATTCCTTATTTTTTCTCCTTTTTTAAAGCAATTTTTCTTGCTGATGATGTGGAGGAACTGAGTCAGCACTAATCAGTTTTTCTCTAATGAAACATATTTTTGATGAAGGAAAGGATTTTGAGAAGCTAGTGATTTAAAATTCCAAAAACCGTTAAAAAATCAAATTTTTTCAAATCTGTTAAAAATTCAAAAATTGTAAATTCGTTAAAAATTCAAAAATTGGAAAACCGTTAAAAGTTGAAAAACTGCGCAATAACGAATTCAAAAATTGATGGTCACCTAGCTTTAACTCTTTTAAAAGGGACAAAAAAGTATAATTTCTAGTTTAAAAGAAATCACCTTTAAAAGCTCCTCGGTTAAAAAAATATTTCTTTAACATTAAGAAGATAAACTTTTTCATAATCACGAATAGCGAGATTAAATTCATTTAAGTGGCATGGAATTCCATTCTGTCAACAGTTATGTACCACATAAAAGTAAAATTTAATGAATTTGTTCCATTTTTTAATGAAAACTTTTTTTTAAAAATAAAGAAAAAATTGCCATTTTCTCTGTTTTGCCTTCGTTGACAAAACAGAAGTGAAGATGAAAGAAGAAGCAAAAAAGGAAAAAGTTTGTAAGCGCGTGCTTTTATTGAAAATTATGCAGTTATTGCTATTTTGTCTATGTTAGAGCATGAATTTAAATTGCGATTTTTCTGTAAATGTTTATTACGGTATTGCATCGAATATCTTCATTTTGGACTTCATGTTATGATTAGGAGAATTAAATTAGGCAATTTTGTAGAAGCTGTGAAGATTTGCAATAATGTTGAGTCTATTTTCGTTAGATTTGCTGTTATTATCTGAGCTTACTGGTTATTTGAGACTAATTTAGTACAGATGCTGACAAATTTACATAATTTTTTCGGTTTGTGTTCGTAGAATTCTTGTAAATTGCTCAATTTGGCACTAAAGATGCTTCTGTTATTTGTGGCTTCAGGTAAGCAGTTCAAGTTGACATTCTGTCAAGCTTCTTAGCTATCCTCGATAGCTCAGTGGTTAGAATATGTGAATGGAAATTGTAAAGGGCGTGGGTTCGATTCCCATACATGCAAAGATAATGAACATTTTTATTGAAGTCTCAACATTAAGTTCCTATATCAAGTTCCAATCCTATTCTTTCACAAAATTGAAATCAGCAGAATAATCAACAAAACTTCCCTCAATGAAATAATTAATTATTTCCTCCAACCTCCAGAAAACTCCTAAAAACTTTCCATCAATTATTCAATAATTATCAAGATTTAATATTCTCATTAACTTCCCCATCATTATTAAATTAAGAAAACTGCGCGCCTACACAGACATAATTAAAAACACCCCTGCATGAAAACTTAATTTTAATTCCACTGAATATTGAGATTAAGTGCCTGCTTTTCTAGTTACTCAACTCACTTCTCAATTTCCATTTTAAATTTTTAAGTGCCTATCTTGTAACTCTCGACAGTGAAATTGAACAAAAAAACAATTTTTTGATGATAGTGCTGGAAATTGTGGCAATGAAAAGGTATGAATCAGTCTATGACTTTTGGAGAAAAATAATGAGAATGAGAGGGTTTGAAGGAAGATGGGTAAGTTATAAAGTCTTTGAGAATCTGCTTCAAAACGCATTTTTCTTAAAATCATGGAAAATTGACATTCCTTGAGACTTGACCGTTAGCTTTGACCGGGAAAACAGACTGACTGAATGATTATAACTTCCAGAGATGAGACCTTAGTCAACTTCTTCCCATGGCTATGCTACTGACTTATAGATGAATAAGTAAAAGACAGAGCAACAAAAAGACAAAGGACAGACAGACAAAGCAATAGCATCAGCCATTTTCCCATTAAAAGTTGCAGGAAAAAAGTAGCTTTCAAGAAAATTAAAAGGAGAAAGACTAGAATAACTTTTTTCCCTATATTAATGAATTCTCTTTCATTCTCTTGTAATTACACTTCATGATGAATAAATTGGTTGAATTACACTCTAATTCACTTATAATATAATTGAATATGAAGAAGTCATCATTTTCAAAATATACACACAAAAAAGAAGTGAACAGCATTAAGGCAATAATGAAAATTGTTTTTTTGTTCATTTTAATACAAATATTATGACAAATACAGAAGGTGTGTAAAAGGACTGTGAGAAAATTTCCATTCAAGTGCGTCCAATTTTTATTGAATGAACACTTTTGTGTGACATAATATATTGAAAGTGTCCACTCTTTTATTGAAAAGGTAGAAAATTGGCCATAAATTTAAGGGCACTGTCAAAAACACAGAATACATACATTTTTCGGTTGATCAACAGCTCTTTCAATCTTTTTGGGCTCTATTCAATATTGTCGAGTATATAAAGAGACGAATAAAGCCTTACATGAGTTATGAAGTCTGTAGTCATGGATAAATTGTGATGTTAACAGTTTTTACGTGCAAATTCTTGCAGTCAATTATAATTGTATGAAATTTTTGATGAAAAGGAGCTTATAGAAGTGGTCTGGGATTATATATACGGTATCTCTCTTAAAATAAGAGGTTAATGGACTTAAATAAAAGCTTTAGTAGTTGTAACTTGTTCTATAAAGAGTTAAATCTATTTCATTATGGATCCACAGAATGAATTTGTAAAATTAATGTTTTAGTAAGATTCAAAATTAAACGGTTTTGTAAGATTCAAAATTTAACGGTTTTGTAAAATTTAAAGTTTAACGGTTTTGTAAGATTCAACATTTAACGGTTTTGTAAGATTCAAAATTTAACGGTTTTGTAAGATTCAAAGTTTGACTGTTTTGAAAGATTCAAAATTTAACGGTTTTGTAAGATTGAAAATTTAACGGTTTTGTAAGATTCAAAATTTAAAGGTTTTGTAAAATTGGAAATTTAACGGTTTTGTAAGATTCAAAATTTAATGGTTTTGTAAGATTCAAAATTTAACGGTTTTGTAAGATTCAAATTTTAACTGTTTTGTAAGATTCAAAACTTAACGGGTTTGTAAAATTTAATACTTAACGGTTTTGTATGATTCAAAATTTAACTTTTTTGTAAAATTTAACGCTTTTGTAAGATTTAAAATTTTACGATTTTGAAAGATTTAAACTTTTTCATAATAATTAATTTAAACAATGTTTAAGACATCGATCGATGACTTTTCTTACTCAATTCTAACCCATACAATGTTCATCCTTCCATTACCCTTTCAACCTAAACTAAATTATTCCCATCATTAACACATTTCAGATTGAAAAATTACCTTCTCGATATCTGATTCATTGTAGTTTGTTTTTCTTCTGGCTACGAAATGATGAAATTCATCAGATATGTACTCATTTACACTGTCATTATATTTATCGATAGCCAATAATCCATACACAACACGACCCCTTGATGTTAGTAAAAAATTGTTTGGTGTTATAACTGGCATCACCCGATTGATTGATGGCGGTTCTGAAAATAAATTAAGAAGGGAAAAATCAAATTAAATTATATCGATTCATGATTTGTTTGCTTTTTAAATGGAATCAGGAAGAATAAGAGAAAATGGGAAGAATCGAAAATAATTCATAATGAATAAATTAAGCATCATTTCCATATTCTCAATTCAAATGGCAAAATTAGGGTGGTTTTAACATCTAAAGAAACCACAATGAGAAACTTAATTACTTAATTTCTGGAAGATCTTGTAGTTAAATACAGCTTTTTATTTTAGATATCCACCCTCATCTGAAAATACTTGTTTTTGGTGGTATTATTAATGAGATAACAAGATTGAAGACGCATTTGAATGACTAACATGCAATATCGATGAAAAATTAAAGAGGTTGAACTATTGAGTCAAGTTCAAGTGAAATTCAATTGGATTTTAACAGTTTTGTAGAATTTGAATTTTAACGGTTTTGTAAAGTTTGAATCTTAACATTATAGAATTTGAATTTCAACGGTTTTGTAAAATTTAAAATTTAACGGCTTTAATGAATTTGAATTTTAACGGTTTTTGTAAAATTAGTAGTTTTACAACTTTAAACTCTTAGTCTCTTTAAGTCTTTCAGAGAATATAAATGTAAGCATCTGATCTTACCCATCTTCTCTTTATTTCTCATTAAAGTTGCTTCGACAAAAGCAAAAAAATTATCCATTTCCAAACTTTATTGATTAGTAAAGATTGAGTTGGATACACATAAGAAAAATAATCCAAAAGGATATTGAAAAGATTTTTTTCTAGATTTCTGTTCTAATTGCTTAAAAGAACATCTCTCTTTATGCTCAATCGCAGTTCTTCCGAGAAATTGGAGCCTTTGTCAATGGTTTGTCTGTACATATTCATCTATGAGGATCAAAACATGATTTTGTTTGTTTGCTCTATTTTTGGATCATTTTGAAGTGTTTAGAATGCAAATAAATTTGAGATAGGTCACTTCCGAATATTCTGATGCCGGATATATTGGAATGACACAATAATTGAATTACAGATCAGTTTTCAGATATGGGCTGGTTGCAATAGATTTTGGAAAAATCTTAGTCGAATATATTCAATTATAATAAGACGAAGTCAACGAATTTTTGAAGTTTAATTTTTTTTTCTGCCATTTTCAATTATTTTTCGCTCACTTCGAAAAGTATTTTGCTGATTAAACTTTAAATAACTGTGTTTTATTTGCTGAAAGAAGTTTAATTGATAGAAAAAAGTGGCAAGAACACTTTAGTAAACCTAAAGTGATTCCTAACCTCAATTTAGAATTAAAAATGAATTATAAGCGCTTATCCAAAACCACCAAAGATTCCCATCAACTTGTCTATTCCACATTCAATTTATATTATGAAAAATCGATAGAAATGTTTCTTATAACCAAACAATACAAACTCATTTTCGAAATTGATTGACTCTCGTCTTTCACACTTAAATGTGAAAACTTGCTAGCCATTTCTCATTCCTACACTGATGTAATTACTTCTCCGCATCTCAGTCTTTGTTTCAGTCTTACGGAATGAGAAACATTTTCTTTGTTTTGGATCCGTTTCATTTCATTTGTGGAAAATGAGAAATATTGTGTGTTATTGAGGAAAAAAAAGGAAGAAGAGAGAAAGTTTCACGTGTTACAACGAATTGTTTTTTTTTTTGGGGTAGCTGGCAATCAGAAATATGAGGAATGTTAAGACACGTGTAGATGAGATATTAAAATTAATTAGGAAGGTTGATGCTTCATTATAATTGTGAATTCTTGTAAAAGTATTCTTGTAATTGGGACTATCTTTGGATAATTAAGGGTAAGTTCGATATTAATTACTGAGAATATTAAGATTTTCAATGAGTTGTTACTGAGTTACAGTTTCTAAAGGTATTTTAGAATTTAAAGTTTTAACGGTCTTTTTAAATTTAAATTTTTTAACGGTTTTTAAAAATTTAAAGTTTTTATCGGCTTATATTAAGATTTTCTGAACATCATCTGACCAGCTAGGACATACTCCTATACTTGACCATAAACCAACCAATCTTCAATTCAAATAAAACGAACTCAAACCTTTCTGAATGCCAACAAAAAAAATCTCATAAATTTTTCACATTATTGTTTTAACATTCCAATCAATTTGAAAATCAAATCAAATCAAATCAAAAAAATTTTTGGCAACACATTTTTCCTCGTCCTTGAAGAAATAAATTGAAATCGATTGGTAGCAAAAAAAGGCAATTAATATTTGCTGATTCTCATTTCAAATAGGCAAGAGAAAAAAAAGTCACAACAAAAATTAATGAGACATAACAAACATCATCCTCTGTTTTGTTTTATTCTATTTTTATAATTTATTCTTTTTTTTCCGTCCTTAATTAAATGAAAGATTCACTTTAAATGAAACAGAAAAGGAGAAAAGAATGGAGAATTTAAGACGGAAGATGAAAATAAGACGCGAAATTAATTTGAAAATAATTAAAGTTTTTTATACGAAGCTTGAAGATGTTTTCATGACAACCAGTAAAGCTTTTGTGGAATATGGGAAGTGAAAAGGACATAAAATGATGATCACTAAGATCATTTAAAGATTTTTGTGAAATTTTGAGTTTTTTATGCTAATAGTAGCTAGTAGCTAGTAGCTAGTAGATAGTAGATAGCTAGGAGCTAGTAGCTAGAAGCTAGTAAGCAATAACTAGTAGCTATAGATCCTAGTAAACTAAAGCTATCAAACCTAATCACAAGATCACAAAAAAATTCTTAAATATTGTGAAAATCTTAAAAACTTCTTGCATATGTCGAAGAAAAGATGAAAAATCGAAAAAAGCAAAAAAGAAATAAATTTTTAAGTTTGGGATCTCTCGTAAGCGTGTGGTGTGTTTTGAGCTTTATTTTTTGTTATAAACAAGCAGTATAAGAAAGAAACACAGGAAATTTCTTTTTACAAAGAAGACTTTATAAAGATGCTTTAAAACTTTCATACCATTCTGATACGAAGAGAAGAAAGTAGTAAAGTTTTTGAGTATTGATCTAAAGCGCATTTCTTGAAATTTAAATCTGTGCATAAATTGACAAACTTGACAGACTTGACAATCTGACTGATTTAAAAGAAAATCATGTAAAAATGTCGATCAGTAAAAAAGAAGAAGTACAGCATTTTTTGCCTCTCGCACTTATGGCTAAGGTTTCTCTTACCTTATAAAAATGATATTACTACTCCTCTCATAAATATCAATTTATGTGAAATATCTAGGGACGTTGGTAGAGGAAGTGATAAATAGAAAATTTTCTTCTTTTCAAATCGAAACGTAAAAAGGAAGTACGTTCTCGCATTTCGATTGTGCCATAAAGTATCATTCGGCTTTTGTAGCATAATGTCTGACATAAGGTTCTATAAGCTCTAAGGATGACATGAATAATATCAACTCATCTTTGGTTTTTTGTCTTCTTTGCTCTTTCTAAAGAATCCACACTGGAATCATATCTTTGTTGATATTGGCCTACGCATTCTTTTATTTTCGTGGGAATATTATTTTCATTTTTATCAGATTAAAAGTTAGGTGTCTTTAATGAATAGAGACTTTTTGCAGGGATGTTGAGAAGTGCGTTGTAATACAGAGACTTTTATAGTTGCAATCATGGTGCCTGATTCTGGGTGGTCAAGTGAATCTAGATTAGACAGGTAGAGGGCTAGGGATATAGAAATATCAATAGTCTGAGCTCCTGTATTATCATAATAGCCATGCCAATCCTTAACAACCGACCCCCCACCCCAGGTAAACACCATGACAACATTCCTTAGAAATAATACTTTAAGAACCATTAATCAGTAATTATTTTCAGCACAATAAATCTGTTATTAATTCTTTGAAACTACTATTGCTCTAAGACATACATATTGTATTGAATTGTAAGTTCATTTCTTCCTACTTCAGCAAATAAGAAAGAACAAAAAAAACTCATATTTGATACAGACATGATTCTCATTTCCACACACTTCATGAGATATTAATGACAATAATAAGAAAGAAAAAAGGTTTTTATTTTTATTATCTAGATGAAATAATGATGTTAAGGAAGCAAAACTCATGGCATCGTAGAGCTTAAAGAGACATTCGAGCTATCCTTCTTAGAAAATTAAGGCCAAACCAACCAGTGAGTGAGTGAGTGAGATGCAGACAAGACTAATGATAGCCACAAAAATATTTATACACATTTCTTGTTGTCTCTCGTCCATCCTGCATCAAGGTTCAATTTCTGTTTTTTACTGTCACTCTTAAAACTCTGTTGACGTAAAATCCAATTTTCGCACGGATTTGCCATATTTATCCATCCTCAGTCTCCCTTTATGAGATTTGGGAAATGGAAACAAGAACACAGACAGTGAGAATGACACAAGAATCTTGTCGCACCAAATGAAATAAATTTCGTCTCTTATTTTTTTGTGTGTTCGTTTTTCTCATGCCTAGATGCTTGGGACATAAAAATTATTCTTTTCTTTCCACTGTCATCATTTATGATGATTAAAAGGGAAATAAGTGTGAAAAAAATGAGACAGAAAAGTTTGTTGTCCAAGGTTTTGTCAGGCGGAAAAAATGAGGTATCATCAGGCATGCCTTAAAATGTTTTGTTGAAGGATTCTTGAAATTAAAGTAGAAATCAGCAATATGAAATTTGGGGTGGACAAAAGCTAAGGCAACTTCAGTTCTCTGAAAAAAATTCAAATAAGATAAAGCTTGAAACCTAATTTTACAGGCGTGAAGCTACAGTTGAAACAGAGCTAGAATCAAAGGTATTAAACCATATCGAAGTAAATCTGCAAGTTTAAATAAAATGCATCTGTGGTACGACTGGATAGACATCAGATTGAGAACCTTTAATCTTCCGAAGTAGGTTCAAGTCCTAATGGATGTCAATCGCTCAATCGATTATAAATAACATTGTGGATACGAGAATGTTACGCACATACTCACAATATTCTATGATAGACGCTTTATTATTTCATATTCTACAATGACTCGTCTCTACCCCCTTTCCTTCATCCTTAACACCACTCCCCAAAAAAATGTTCAAAAAATAATTATGAATAACATCAAAAAGCGAGACTATCCACTTGCCATAAACAACCGAGATGAAGAGAATGCTTATTTACGCTTTTAATTTCCATACTTAGGATTCAGCATCATAACATCCATCAAAGCTGTCCACAAAAGACACCACCAAATATCTACAATTCGCCCCTTATTTTATGTGCGAATAAACCAAAGCTCATTAAAATGATAAAAGAAAAGAGATATAAATGCTTTTGAATTATTTATGAATGTATTAATTATTTTTATTCCTTAATAGCGTTTAGCATACGAAACATAAAAAGCGATTTTTGGAACTACACGTAAGGGGTTGGTTTGGAAGTGATGTTTTTTGAAGAGTGTGATTTGGAGACCTACTCAATTCTGTGTAACATATGAAGATGCAATCTTGACCTTACGACTCGTGACATCCCCTGATGAGACACATCATTTCAGAATGACCCCAAAAATGTTTTTTCTTTCCATTTATAAGAAGGATTCACTTTCGTGTATCGTAAATTATGCATGAAAATGAAGAGGGTAAGAAACACGCAAAAAAAAGAACATGAAAGATTTAAAAGGTGAGAGGGGAAGGAACGAAGCCTCAAGACATTTTTATCGCCTCATCGTGAGAAAAAGAGATGAAAAGAAGAAGAAAATGAAATTAAATCGCGGAAATTAACTTTTCTCAGGTTGATAATTTTATCCCTTTTTTTGCTTGTCGCTTACGATGTGAATTATACAATACAATTCTTAACTTCTTTTACAACTGCTGAACTTTTTTCCCATAGACACTAATTGCTATGAAATAGGTCGGAATCATGCAATGTTATGGGATACGAAAATAAATGTAAATTTAATCACAAGGGGGCTATTAAATACAGAATATGTAAATACACCGACATGCAATGTAAATAACATCATTTAGGGAAGTCTATTGTTGATGCTTGTTTATCTCCTACCATACGGAGCTTTTATGTTCTTCAAATTGGTTTACAAATTGAATATTTATTATAAAGAAGCTAGAAAGTTTGAACTTTTTTATGCTGGCTGTTTTGGCAATAATTGTATATTCTGTAAGTGAATTGTTGATTAAACTATCATGATTGCTTTGAAAGATTTTAATCGTTTCATTAATCGTTTAATTTGAAAGATCGTAATAAACAGATTTCAATCGTTTCTTGAAAGTTGTGGAAATAAATATGTTTAAATGAGTAATGGAAGTTTCAAATTCAAACTTAAGTGATGCAAAGATTTGGGGAAGATGCAAAGCATTTATGTGAAAAATATGCGAATAAAATTTGAATAATTTTAAGTAAATGTTAAAAACTAATCATTATAGAAGAGATTCAAGGATCCAGTAAGTACATAAATCCATTAATTACTAAAGTAAGGGACTTCAAAGTATGAATTAATATCAAGAATATTACCAGAAAGTTGAATTTTTCATAATAATTCACATTTAAAATTAAATTCCCTCCAACTCTTGAAGCTTGACCACAATTTTCCATAAAAAATCACCATTACAGCAAATAATTTCATCCTTTTCTCCCGCATAACAAAAGAAAGTCATTCATATAGCCACGAGAATTGAATGAAATTTCAACTCATTTGAGGTTTTGACCTTTTTTAACCCATTCTCCATCAATTCCGTTTTATTCCCAAAATGGAAATGAAATTGAGTCATTATTGAAATAGGGATCAATCGACTATAGAAGCCCTTAATTATTGCATGTCTACATAATCGTTTTCAATGATGATTATTGTTATTACATCCATTTTTAGACAATTTTAAAGAGGTTAATGACTTACCTGATAAAAATAAGTCCTGAAGTGCTTGAATTGACTGACACAATAACGCCCATCCTTGCGTTGGCGTTAGATGATGGAAAAATTCAAAATCTAAAGCACTTTCGAGTGTTACATAACTCGGTGGTGCATTATGTTGATTCCTTCTCTGTTGTTGCTGCTGCTGTTGATGTGAATTTTCACGGCGTGTCGAAGGCAATGTATAGAAATTATATCCGGCATGTTGATTTCTTTCGTTAGGCACAAAAGGTGTCGGAATGTCATTTATCGCTTTCTGACATATCCTATAGTCATTAATGTTCTGTTTTTGCTTTTGTGGATGATATCGTCCTATCGTCTGTGTCCTCAGATTATAATCGACTCCAGATGCATCGGAAAGTGAATTATTTATTGATATTTTGGCGCGAGGTAAGATAGTCGTACATCCTAATATCCCATTCTCATGACCATTGTTAATATTGTTATTTTTAATATTATTATTGTTATCATTTTTATTATTATGATGAACTTTATCATTAGTTTTCACACCATTATCCAATATCGATTGTGGAATGTGATCTAGCTTCTGATAATTGCCATTATTGTCTCTTTCACTCAATTTATATTGTAAGTAAGGCCCTCTAAGTTTTCTGTAAATTGAGAGATAAAAAAAAGGAGGTTATGAGTACAATGTATTAAATTTTCAATCTATTTGATGCTTAAATGTTAATCATGTGATAGAATGATAGTCTGAAAAAGAATATATGACAGGGTTGATGATTTAGACTAGTGAGTAACTTGTTTAGCTTCATGTTGATTTTCCGAATTCAAACCCTAGCAGAAATTTACTAGTAATTTCCTAGTAACTTACTGGATAACTTTCCATTTGCTACTTGCTATTTACTAGTCAAAATCCAAGTTCAAATAACGCCAAAGACCCGCAATTTTCACTTGCTAATTGACTAGTCAATTCGCTTACAATTTAACTAGTAATTTACTAGCAAATTTTTAAAAAAATTAAATGAATATAACCGTTGATTTCCACGTGTTTTTTTGATTTTTCTTATTAAGTAAATTATTGTAAAAGTATTAGAGTGTACTTATTTAAAGTTAATTAAAGTACACTAACACTATGAAAAAAAAAGACTTAATTTAATTAAGTCGAACACTGATGAACGCCCATGACTCGCACGCAAACCTGAGGAAGATAAATAATTAATTGAAAGTCACATACAAATTTGGATCGACCTTATAAAGGTGATTTCTGCGCGCTTTTGTGAAGTATATGGCAAATGCCAAATTTAGAACAAAATTTTTTATGACGCAAAAAATTCTTTTTATGACGCAAAAAATTTCTTATTTTGATGATTTTTCGTAGGGTTCGAACTTAAGAAGATTTGATTAAACATTTTACATAGTAATTTGCTAGTAAATAGCGTAAATAGTGTAATTTTCAAACAGTAAGTTGTTTTAATAATTACTAGTAAATTGCAAGTAGTAAAATAGAAAGACTAGCAATTTGCTAGTTAGTCTCGCTAGGGAAAAGCTCTTCTTTGAAGGCTTAAATGCTTCTGACTGTAAGCTTGTTTTTTGAAGAACGTGCCTTAACACACAGGTTACCAATAACTGATTTAAAAGATGGTTTAATAGAACTTTGAGTGTATTTTGGGTAGCTTTTAAAGGTCGAGTCAATTACCAACTCAAAAAACCTAGTTTTAAACATCAACCTGTGTTCATTTTGAGCATTGTCTCATTCCACAGACTAATTTAAAGTTCCTGAGCAGTAAACATTTAAATTTTAAATCCAAATCATCCTCAGCAATCAAACATTATTTTTACCAAATTCAAATCAACCCAATTAATCCTGAGCTTGTGATAATATTTAAATGCTTTATATAAATAATCATGAATTTAAAATCCTTTTCATTCATCACTTCGCACGTATCTAGAGCACTCATTTCAAAATTTTATGGAGTGGGGGATTTGCCTAGGTACGAGATCTTTCACAAATGGATTAATATTATTTTTAGAAATGAATGAAAATTCATCTTCTGATTTCTTTAATCTAACACGAGCATCTTCTTATTATGAATCACGCAGTAGATAATTAAGAACTTGAAGTAAGGTAGAAGATTGAGGATTTAAATTGCTTTATTCATCTAAGAGTTTCAGGAACTCCTAGAATCAAAAGGATATTTTAACATAATAATTAATGTACTTGAAATGGCTTAAATAGCTACTCCAATGAGCGTAAAGATTAGTAAATATCCTTAAGAAAATCACCCTAGATAATGACTAATCCTTACAATTATTTGATAATTTGTAAGGTTTTTCCATCAAAACCATACAAATTCTAATAAAACCTCACAAGTTATCAAGAAATTGGACGGTTTTCACCTGTGCACAGGTGCTTGTATCGCTACCCTGCATCAAGCTTTAAACTAAACCTAACATGTGGTCAAACCCAGTATTTTGATACGTTCCTCTCCTTAGTCAATCAATTTTTGCTTTTATTAAACATAAAGCCGACAAAATCCATCGAAAAGAGTTCTCAAAACAACAACCCTGTCTAATCAATTGTAACAAAAGCGATAGAGTAGGTATAAGCAAGAATTGTATGGGAAAAGTGACAATAAAAAAATGAACGAAGGAAGCATAATTACATTTTATCGTTAACCATCGTTGTCCTACAGTTGAACGATTTACTATATGTAACATCATTATTATTGTTATTACTAGCGGCAATATAGGCACCATATGAAAATTTGTTTCTAGTGTTATATAAAGTCGATGACTGCTGCTGCATTTCATGTGATTCATTCGATGGTGTGATAATTGATTTCACGCATTCATTACTATTGACTCCTGTTGATGACGACTGTGTTAGTATTGTAGATGAAGATGAGGATGGTGGTAGCAATAACAATGATGGCGATGATGATGAAAATTTACTGACAGCATTGGCAGTTGAATGTGTATTAAAGGCATTTATATTATGATATTGATATTTATTATTATTATTCTGTTGCTGATGCTGTTCTGATGATAATGGTGTTTCAATTGATGAATACATTCTGTAAAGACATAAAAAAACATAACGAAATATTGAATGAAATATTTTTGATTTAAAAATAATTTTCTCATTAATGAGACGCAATATACATTCATTCATTTGACATAGATAAAAATAATATCAGTATAAATAAAACTCGTAAACATTACAGTCGACAAAAAAAATCAAAATAGAAGACTTTTAACAGCTTTTCAGCTTTTTTGTGGAGCTTTAAAGTGATTAATAGGAGTTTCTTTGGGATTCAGTTTGTCTGTCTTATTGTTTTTAAGCAGTTAAATCGCTCTTTTAGCTCAAAATTGGTTCATTACCTCAAAGGTCTTTGGTTCGACTCTTGACATGAACAAATTTGAGATTTTCCTGATGTTTAAGCGCTTCAACTGCTGAATGTATAAGATTAAAACAAAATTGGAGCTCTAGGGTAGGTTTTTAAGGTACAACCCCGAACAACCTAGTCGGATTCTTCAATGTAGCTAGTATAATGGAGGCATAACCTAAAACCATCTCCTGAACAACATAAGTTAGGAGAACGGGTTATAAACTTGAACTTTAGCAAGAGAAATAGTAATTAAAACTTAAGTTTAGCCTTGAACATATAATGCTGACCCCAGCCAGAATCTTTTGTTCCATAAAACAGTTTCATTTACTTTCCATCGCTGTAAAAGCTAGACTTCAAAACCAAACAATCCAAAAACCAAAATTTAATTCAATTCCAACAAGAAAAAGCTTCTAAAACCTGCAAAGCACCGAAATAGAACCACTTCAACTCAAAACTTTGTCTCATACTTATACATAAGCAATAAATAAGCAGAAGAATTCAATTCCATTCATGAATGTCTACGAATGATAAAAATATAATAAAATACATATAAAAATTTTTGAGATGTTATAAAAATAGCAAGCAGGAACAGAGGATGATTAAGAGGAGGGGAGCTTAATATCGCAGAAAAATAATACAAACAAATGTCATAATAAGAGCTGTGCTTGAATAGAAAATGAAGCGGAAAGTTATTAAAACATAAAATTGAAATCCTTCTTTCAACCGCATGAACAGAACCGTAAATTTAATATTCGGATCTTTATAAGGAGAACTGTTTCGATATTTTGTTTTACATGCCATTTCAACCTTTTCTCATAGCATGTGAAACAAGTGTAGAAGAGAGTAAGATGATGTATTATAGATTGAGAGAAAATAACGCAGTTTAGGAATGAATTGTTGTTGGATAGGCTTTGATTGTGGTCTTGCTAATTGAAAATTTCTGTGTAGAGATTTTGCTCGAAGTTTATTCGATTTCTATTGTTTGTAATTTTGAGGCTTGAATCTAGTCACAGTCAGGTGATAAATTATGGAAATATTGTTTTTGAATTTTACCAACTTTACATGAATTTATTGATTAAAATTCGACTACATGATTAGAATTTGGCTGGAATAGAGTGAAATCTGAAGCTTCGACTTATATGTTGGCAATTTGCCAGTTGTAAAAGAAAAGCCATTGCTGCTGAGTAGACTTAACTCAGAGACCATAAGACTCTTTACTTACATGAGTTTTGGGTTCAAATCCTATCAGAAGATGGTTTCCAAATCTTTAGAAACAGTGTTGTTAATGTGACTTAGAGCTTACTAAAGTCCAACAACTAAAACACTCTAAAGTACGCTTTAGATCCCTTATCTCTTCAACATAGCTTAAAGTTCACGGAAGTCATAAAAAAATCATTTTTAAAGTTCATCAAACTTAGCCTTTCCTCTTAAGGAAAACCTTCAAACTCAGCCAAAAGAAAAACTGAACGATCATCTGAAAATTATTTGTCTAGAAAATCTCCTCGACCACAAAAAAAAATCCTGCGTAATCTAAAAAACTGTTTCACTTCGATTCTCCAGTCAGCAAAATATATCAAAAATTTTTGGATTTACCTTTAGAAATGAAGAAAATATTACTTTTGAATACTTTATCACATACACAAGCCCATAATACTTCAATCACATGCACAGGCAGACTTGAATGAAAAGATCCATTCAGTTAATGCAAAGTTTTAATTTTCCGTCTTTCCATTTTCAAGCTTCAGATTCAATAGAATAAAGGATAGAAAGCAGAAATGAAATAAAACATCGGTATTCATGCGAAAAGGTTTCCTTTCACTAAAGCTCGGCATCAATTTCTTGATGACGAAGAATGGAATAAAAGCTCTGCTATAATTTCATCATTACAACTTTTTTTCACTTCTTCTTGTTCTCTCCTTTTTTTTACCCCTTTACACATCAATTATCTTTCATTTCTATTCAGTGTCTACTACTACTCTTTTCAGTCATTCACGGCTGCAACTGTGAGATAATTAAGAACAACGACGATGAAAAGCGCAATTCAGTAAACAAACAAGAGTTTGGGATTGGTCATAAATGATGTCTACTATTGAAGTAGGAGGTTGACTGAATCTTTATATGTGAACTTAGCCAATGTCATTAATCAGTTAAAGGCTCTCGATGGCCAAGTGTTAGGAGAATGTGACTTAAAATCATAGGTCGTGGGTTCAAGTCCCACGATTAATAGTTGCTTAATAACAACGTCTATCACCCATGCACAACTCCTACTGACTTTCCAAAGAATTTCTCATTCAAATCAGAAAGCGAATGTTGATTTATGCTATGGTTGACAGCATGAGGTGAGTGATAAGCATTCAATTTATGTTTACATCGTTGACTGTATTATGATTTCATTAATGGGAAAAAAAGTCAGATTTATTGTGAGGGAAAAAAATTCATTAAAGAAGAAGAACATAGAAAATATTCACAGTTCTGTCGACCGCATTTGTGTATTTATTTTTCGGTGAAATTCTTTATTGACTTGACCGTACTTTTCGATCGGAACCAATCATGATAAAAAAATACTTCAAGTGCTTTAGGTTATTTTTTGTTGGTGAGCTGTCGAATAATTTTAATGGATGGTAAAAAATTTCACTTTGGACTAAGTTTTAAAGAAATTATGATTGTTAAGGTTTTGAAATTCTTGTTATTAAGCACTAATTGTTCATTTGTTGGCAATGATCACCATGCGTTTTAGTTCTGACTCATAATTTTGGTTTAAATATTTTTGAACCGTAAAATTTCAAATAATTTTTGAACCGTAAAATTTCAAATAATTTTTGAATATTAAAATTTTCAAAAAATTTTAAACCGTTAAATTTTCAAATATTTTTTTAAAGTTAAATTTTCAAAAAATGAACTTATTCGTTAGGAAAATGCACTTAATTCGCCCTCAAATTGATCAATTTTATAACAAAGAATTTTTTCTTTGAAGAATGAACTAAATGGAAGTTCCAAATGCCTTTTCATGCTCTGTTTCTTAATTAATTTCAATATTTTTCTCAAGAAAAGAATTCTTCATGGTTAGCATATTTCATTATTTTGAGTTGTTCAACTAAGGAGTCTCTTTCTTTTAAATGGAAATATTTTGCTGTAGCTTTTTGAAGCTTTAAAGAGTTCATTATGCTAATTTTCACTTGGAAATAGTTGAAAGCACTTGAAATAAATTAAATTCTTAAAGATTCTCATGAAAAATTTAAAGCCGTACCCAAAGGAAAGTTCTATTTTTGAAGCTTCCACATGATATCCGAACCACCCGCTTGATTGATAAATTCAATCACTCCCCATCATCATGAAAATATGACAAATTTTAAAGGATCCTCAACAAAACTTTTTCCTTTTGAATTATTAATTACTGTGCATTTTAATTAAACTGCTCAACTTTTTAATTACTTAAGAAGAAGAAAAATTGGGACTTAATGTCCTTTTTGCCTTTGATTAATGACATTATATTTTTAATTGTGTAAAAGTATGAAAAAAAAAAATCCTGTTTTGTGCCTTCTGTTATGCAAAACAAAACTTAGTGAGTGAAGGAAGCAACAACAGACATTCTTTTTTTGTTACAGAACAAATGATTATTTGTTGGAAAAGAAAATGAAAACAGAAGTGAATGGCAGAAGTGATATTGAATGAACTTTTATATAAGTAAGGCATAAGTGAGGGCAAGTAAGGATGATGAAGGCTGGGGAAGTGAGCTGAGGAAATTTGTTGATATATGAGGTTTTAAAAATTTGAATTGATAACGGTTTTTAAAAATTCAAATTTATAACGGTTTTTAAGAACTCAAATTTTTTAACGGTTTTTAAATATTCAAATTTATAACGTTTTTCAAAATTTTGAATTTATAATTATTTTCAAAAGTTTGAAATTGTAAAAATATCTTTAAAGTCAAATGACAATCTGCCAAAGTACCAACCAGCACATCAATTCGCAAAAGTTCAGCTTCCATCAAAAGTCAAAAGATCCTTTCTTCCTTTCCATTATAACCCCTCAGATCTCAAATCAATGAATGATGTGATAGCATTGTTCATTCGCGACCCTATGAAATTTATTTATACGTCAATTTCCAATGGACAATAGGAATTTGTTCGTGCTGTGAGATGTGCAGAACAAAAAATCAAATGTTAAGAAGTCCTTTTTGGGTGAAAAACTTTTTCCGCTTTCTTTTATGGCCAAACGACTTTTTAAGTACTTTCTAAGGAGAACTAAAAAGAAATCGCAGCTCGGTGTCAAGAGCAGGTGATGCTGAAGCATTTTTTTTGTTGCTCATTGGATGTCTTTTATCATTAAGTCATTAAGGAATTTCATACCTTATTCAAAATTAATGGTAGAGTGTGCCTTACTCTCAATAATACTAAGGATGCTAATAATTGATTAAATATCCTTAATAGATTAGATTTTGGGAAGAAAGTAATGAATCAATAAATGGCTATGGAATATCCGGAAATTATAGATTATGCTCAATATATTTTGTCGGATCTGAATCATTTGATTAATATTTGGACAGCCAAAGAAATTGAAGAAGCTTTCTGCTTAAACCTTTATCTTTAGGGCGACTGACCTTCAGATCATCTGAACAGCCGCTAATCCAGACTGATCATTAAAGAGGGGGTGACAACTTCTAGCACATCCATACCCCTCTTGC